CACAGATACAAGCTCTTTTCTTTCTTTCTTTCTTTCTTTCTTTCTTTCTTTCTTTCTTTCTTTCTTTCTTTCTTTCTTTCTTTCTTTCTTTCTTTCTTTCTTTTTCTTTTTCTTAAAGTTTTATTTATTATGTAAACAGTGTTCTGGCTGCATATACACCTACACACCAGAAGAGGGAACTGATGGTCGTGAGCCACCATGTGGTTGCTGGGAGTTGAACTCAGAACCTTTGGAAGAGCAGCCAGCGCTCGTAACCTCTGAGCCATCTCTCCAGCCCCCAGGTACAGGCACTTGAGGGGGTTGGCCATAGGGCACACTCAATCATGAACAGAGAAGTATGAGCTAATGTATGCCTGCTAGTGTTTAATTTGCTTTCTCTAGTAGTACAGTCCAGGATTCTTCCCACGTCAATGAATATAGTCAACACAAGTATCCTTAGATATGCAACCTGATTTAGATAATTGCTACTGCAGGTGATTCTAGGATGTCAGGTTGACAACTAAAACCAATCACCACACCCTGTCTCCGAAAACTGATAGAAAGTGATTGAAGAAGACACCCAGTGTTGGACCTTTGCCAGCACGTGTTCCTGTACGCATCACACTCGTTCACACGCTCTCAGACGGAATCGGACATGCTTGTGTTTCACTTGCTGTTCTCACGTTAAGGCCAGACCACAGTGAGCAAATATGGACTTTCTGAAGGACGCTGCTCTCACATTCCAGAGGGGCTGTCAGTGTCAGAAAATCAATACTGAGAGACGCTAATGCCTCCTTCTCCCCTCCTGAGCGAAATGCTTCAAACGCACAAATCCTGCCTTTGAAAGTCTGAAACCCTGTTTGTTTCCTGTGAGTCCCATGACGGACTCTAGTGGCTGTGTTTGAGGCTCAGAAACAAAGCAGGACAGATACATGCAATGGGAAGACCCCCACCCCCATCCATCATCTTGGCAGCGTTGCAAAGGAGGGCAGAGCCCACCAGGAGAAGAACGGACAGAAGGCCAATAATGGAAAGCTGCGAAATGACTGCTCAAGGGAAAAGCCACCAGCAGCCCTTCGTGGCCTGTTTGTAGGCCAACTCCTCAGAGTCACTCTCAATGGTTAACTTGCTCCAGAATGGTGACGTGTGACATACATCCCAGATTCTTAAAACTGTGGGCTGTGACCCCGCATGAGGTTCCATAGCTGAATACGGGGCTCAAGAAAACCTGAACATCGCTAAGAGAGTTTTGAATAAGCAATGGCCGAAACTTAGCTCAACATGAAAAAGGTAACGAACACGAGGTATTCTGGCAGTGTGTGGCCTTGCTGCAGCCTTCAACCTCACTGCAGCCTTCATGCTCTGAGGAACTTGCTGAAAGTTCAGTTTCCACGGCACCCAGCTCCGTGGCATGTGGTACCCGCCTCATACTCCCCGGAGAGCAGGGCTCACACATCATGGGCTTTGATGGCTCTTGTACAGCTGAGGCACAACTCCAAAGACGTGAGGAGAGCCCTGGACTGGCTGACCTGTGACTGAAGCCTCCAGACCCAGGCTCTAAGTGGGGCCCATCCCTTCCAAACCCTAGTGATTGCTAAGGGCTTCTCACAGACTCACAGGTTGCTATGAAGGTTCTAATGTGATATACAGAGGCCTCTGATAGGGCAGTGGCTCTGGATTTTCATCCAAAGATTTTGACTGTTTGATCTTTTTTTTTTTTTTACTCTGTACCTCAGGCTGGCCCAGAACCTATGTAGCTCAGGCTGGTCCCATGCCTCCTGAGTGGAATCACAGGGCTGAGTGACTGAATCATCCAAACCTGACTTCAATGTTCAAGGGTCCGTTTTCAAACTATTTTAGAAAAGGTGTGAGTGTTTTCATTTGATCCAGTCCTAGAATTCAGGGAAGATGATCCTGAGAACCTCAAACACACAACCAAGGCAGAGACAGGTTAATCCTCTTGCTTTGGGTGTGGTTGTGGCCAAGAGGCGGCTTCAGCCAGGGTCCGAGATAGGCATACAGGAGCCATCCCACAGCAAAACTTCTGTCCCCCTGTCCCCATACACCCCATCAGTTTTTTTCCCACCCTGTTCCTAAATTCATTCTTCTCTCCATCCCTATCACCAGCTCTGGTTGGCTCTGCCACCCTCACCAGGGCCACTGGAAATGGCAGTTTGGAGTTTACCATCATGACTGTACTGTCTGCCCTGACCCTTTCACGTCTCTATGTCATTCCATGGCAGTCACCTTCCAATAGCATCTTATTATTCTTCTTCAGGTAAATATTGTGTGTGTGTGTGTGTGTGTGTGTGTGTGTGTGTGTGCATACACATATATGTACATGTGATCATGGAGGCCAGAGGTCAATGTTGAATGTCTTTAATAGCTCCGTCAACTCTGTGTGCCTCAGTATGTGCCTGCACCCCATGCATACTGGGGCCTGAGGAGGCAGAAGAGGGTACAGACTCTCTGGAGCTGGAGTCACAGGTGGTTTGTGGTACTAGGGGCCAAACCCAGGTCTCTATCTCTCCAGCCTCTCCATCTTAGGTTCTGAGGTAGGGCCTCAGACTGAACACAGAACTCACCAACCTGGCTAGACTAGCTGGGCAGTGGCCCAAAGAATCTCTCCTGTCTCTGCCTCCAGCCCTAGCACCAGGGCTGCTGGCATGTGTTGCCATGCTTGGCATTTTATGTGGGTCCTCTGGGGGGGAGGGTACGTTCGAATCCTCGTTGCCTGTGTGACAAGCTCTTTACTGACTGAATCATCCCTTGAGAGCTGGCCTGATTTTATTCTCATAAGTCCTACAGTTGCACCCCAGTCCACTTCTGCAAAGTCCTTCCTCTTGTTCCTTACCTGCCAACTACATCGGCTCTCTTAGCTCCTCCTCAGTGCATATGTCCGGTGTAGGTATCACCTAAAAGCCTCCTCCCAACCCTGAGCTTCACAGTGTCGTATCCATTTCCATCCTTCCAGCCCAGACCACAGGACTTGCCTTTAATTCTTATGGGGTTCCTGGTTTGCCTTCTCATGGCTATTCTCTCTCTCTCTCTCTCTCTCTCTCTCTCTCTCTCTCTCAGATGTAACACTTTCCGCAGCATGGAATCCCCACTCATGTGGGTACTTTTCAGTGTCAGCCTTGA